ATTAAATACAATATCAAAGTACATTTAGTATATTATTCAAATTTTCTGATTATAAAAATCATACTATTCGGTTTTGTGCGTTTCCAATCAAATAAACAACAATTGTATTAATTTGTTGTGCAAAATTGTGGTTTTGTATTTTAAAAGGTTTATACAAAAGTAGGCACAAAATAAGTAATAAATGGTAGGAAACGGATTGGAAAAAATTGTTGACCATCTCCAAGGAAACAAAGATTAACTTAACATTTTTAAAATGGTCGTTAAACTATTGTTGTATGTCTAAGTACACACTAAACATAATACTTGGAAATTTAAAAAGTATTTAACAATACTATTTTTGACAAAAAATCACTGTTAAACTGTAATCATATTATTACATGTAGATTTTGCTAACATAATATTATCGTGCAGTGTGTACGACTCATTAACATATTCTTTACTGTGTAATCCCTGGTAGCAACCTGGAAATTGGCTATGGCCAAAGGATAATTTTCCCCCTCTTTTTGGGTTTTTCCTTTATAAATAAATAAGTTTGGCTACAGATTTTTAAAAAAACTATATAATACATGTTGTAATTCCATTCCAGATCAACCTTCGGCCTAATTGTCAGACCAAAATTCTTTAAAATTTCTGAATTTAAATTAAAATAAAAGTTTCTCTAAATGTTTTCATGTGTTGGTAATACGAATGAATGTCCCACCAAAGTATTTTTAAAATAAAATATAATTCTCAAATTGGATCCCTTAATTTTGTTTCATCCCGTTTTGGGCACCACAACAAAGGGCATTTTACAGAATAACGTTTAAGCTAGAAATCAAATACTGAAAAATTGTTGTTGTTGTGACAATTTCTTGTTAACCATACGTTTTTCCAACTAATAATAATTTATTGTAGTCGGTATAAACGGTAAAACATGAAACATAATTTACTATTTCTTTCATGATAGTATTTTTTTGGATATTATGTTTTGCTGCTGTTTTTTTGTACTCAGAAAGTGAAAAAACAAGTGAATGTGCCGAACAAGCTCAGCTGTTTCAAAAGCGTACTTATCAAAGCATACTATACCTACACTTTTGTATGATTCTTTTGGGTTTGGAAAGTAATTTACACACGGGTTTATCGTTACCTTATTTTTCGACGGCTTAAACACACCAAAAATAAAAAGAGTAAAATGTTCAAAACTATATGCGGTTTACAATTTGTATCAAAATGTATTTTAATTAATTTCACTGAGGGGTCATCATTAATAGTAAACAAGTATATTGATAACAAATAAATAATGGAGTATAAAAAAGGGTCAAATGTTTACAAGAGTTATGCACTTATGTCTTACAATTCAACTTAATGCACAAAAGTTGAAGTATGGAAAAAATAGTTTCCAAAAAATGTCACTTACAACCTTTTGGTTTTTTTGCCTACCTTTCACGCTTGTGTTTAGACACTAGTTTTCAATTTTATATTCACCAGTAAGAAGTTTGAAAATATGTGAGTGTCAACTTATAAGGTTTATTCAAAATTTAACTGGTAGAATATTTGCAATGATGAAATATCTTTTTGGACAAAAACCTAATAATCCTCTTTATCATGTTGTAGCATTTAATGGATTAGGCCAATCTGTTTCATCTTTCTTCAACTTTTAAATAAACAAAACGTTGCCAAGGAAAAAAAAACTAAAACACATAGTTCAATAAATTAAAAATTATGGTTTATACAATACATTTTAGTTCGTTCAACTATGTATTTTGATTAGATTAATGATTTTTTGCAGCTTGACTTTTTGTTAATTGTATTTTATTAGAAAATAAAAATACCTTTGTGTAACTAACCAAAAAGATGTTCATTAAAATTGTAGTTTTAAAAATGCAGGTATCAAAAACCAGTATAAAGGCTTGTGGTGTAGGTAAGAAGTGTGTTAAAGGTTTCCTATTTTACTTATATGCATTCCGACATCAGATACATACTATTATAATTAATAACTCTTAAACTATTACTGGGAATTAAATAATATGTAGCTTGATGAAGGTAGGGAAAGCTGTCAACGATGGGAATCATTAACATTTTTCTTTGTCGTGCCAAGAACTAGAAAAGGAGCGCATACCAGATGTAACACAAATATTAGAAAGATTGAAATCTTTATATTATTGCGCATTTCTTTAAAGCATTTTGATCAAAAACTTAGTTTCTGAGAATTATACTTGAAAACTGTTAAATTAGCTATCAAAGTGAGTGTAATAATTATGGCAAATAATTTTACTAGTATTAGTTCAATTGTTGAGTAATAATATAAAGAGATGATCTAACATAGTGTAAACCAGCTTGTTTGGTATATTACACTTCAGATTGGTTTACAAATGTGTTTACTATATTTTAGGCGCAAAACCGTGTAGATTTATTTTGTTTATTTTATACAACATACAATGACGGTACTTGTCTACTTAAAAACTAAATAATAAATTCAAAACCAATCACTAGTGTGTCAACTCATACACATTCTGGAAAAACGTGTGACAGTAAGAACGTACTCAAAAATGAAGACACAACACAATTATTATGTGGCAATATTTTTCGTAGTGACTTTCGTAGTACAAGGTAACAGTATTTAACTTTGTAATTACTCGTTTGGGACAAAGCATTTATTTTTTAGTTAAATTAAAAGTAATGCTAACCGATTGGGAGAAAAACCTAATAAGTCTATTTAGCATTTTTAGTGTACCTCATCAAGGTCATCAAAGGAGCTTCGGTGTGAATGTTAAATACAATAATATATAGATATATATTTGACCTATTTTAATTTATACGTTTAGCTGTTAGGTTGTAAAATTGCACCTATAAAATTTGTAAAAAATGAGTGTGACTGACTAATATTATAAGTATCATATCATAATGATTTTGATTAGATCATCATAATAAAAGGCATAGGCTGTAGTTAAGGTGGTTTTGACAATTTTAAAAAGAAAGGGTTGAATTTCACCACTTTTGGTCATGATGACCATCTATTTTTTGTTTTCTACATAAAAAATACATGCGATGTAATGTTTATTTAACATTATTGTGTAAATCTTATTAAATTTGTACCTAATATATTTGTATAACGTCAGGATTTCAGATGTACAGTCCAGATATTAAATATGAAGATTTCCTTAGGGCGGAACGTCAAAAATATCCTGAACTAGACCCGGAAAAACTTGATAGAATAAAAGATCTTGCGTCAGCCAACGAAAAATTACCACCAATAAATAGTGAGTAAGCATCTTAATGCATCTTAGGGGGCCAAGACGGTTATAGAGGAAAACATAAAAACACATATTTTGGAGGCAACGACAAATCCTTTTATTAAATTATTATTTAGAAAAAAAGTTATCACTGTTTTAATAAAGTAAAAAATAAATTTTCCTTTAAATCAAGTGTCAAGCTGAACAATAAAAATATTTAAAAAAGGATATGTTTTCTCTGAAATGTTATCATATTTTAGTTTGATTATAAATCTCCTGCACCGAGTAAAACGTTAAAAACTTTAAAAATAGTTGTTTATCATATTATATCAACCAATCGAAATGCGCGTTACCATTTGTGTTTCAAAAGTTGCTATCGAAGAAACTAAGTTGGGAGGATGGTAAAAATTTTAAAAAAAATCTGAAAACAGAGATAACATTGTGTAAAATCAATATAAAAAAAAATCGAGTATCCACACTACAAGTGGAAGGCACATGTCTTATGTCAACTATGATTATGTTAAATATAATACACTGTCTAAATGAGCAACAAAAACTAATTGGCCAGAACATTCAAAATGATTTAATAGTATTTAATCTAATATATTAAATATATATATATACTCGATAATGTTTTATGTTTCATGTTTTAGTAGTTTTATATAATATCTGGCCTTAATAGATTTACTGTCAACATTTATCAAATAGTTAACTTCTAGTTCAAGCGCTAGAGCACCTAATTAAGATTGCCTAATCTCTTATCTGTATTTTCTTATCTCTTATATGTTATCTCTTATCTTTAATCACTTATCTTTAGTATATTATCTCTAATCTCCTATCTCCTATCTCTTATCTCTCGTACCTTATCAGATAATTATTTGTCAGTTTATTCATTCAAAAAACAACCGCTAGATCACACGCACATATTTTATATGGTAACGTTCAGCGTGATGCACAGATTTTTATATTGACCCCCAGCCAATTTACATGAACATAAAATGATAAACTGATAAAATGTCGACCCTGTACTTAGTACAGTAAAATACTTTTCTTACAAATGAAACAAATACTCTTGTATTTAAACAATAGTCATAATAATTTAAACGCCATAATTTGATTCCAAAATGAACTGATAACAACCGTTTTCACAAAATCTTGATTTTGCACGTTTGGTAAGTTTTAGTAGACCAGGTCACATTAAAAAAAACTAATAAAAAGGGAGATTACTGAAATAATAAATACACATTACAGCTGTTACAGCTTTAAAATAGTCTTTCAAAAAATTACCCCTTTTGAGCTGCTTAATAAATAGGGGTTAATAACCATTAAGCATGTAGCAGTTTTAGGATTTACATTATTTTTTATATTAAGTGTTATAAGAGTATGATATATAAGAGTTCTAATAAAGCATTGTATTTAGGTATAGAATATGTTTTATTTCTACATAGCGCACATTTCGACGAGCACAAAGCTTATGAAATGCTTGTCAACTACTACAAAGTCCGAAAACAACTACCACATATATTTACCCCGAGCGATCCAACGGAAGAAGAATTAAACAAAATGTTTGACGTCATGTAAGGAACGGATGTATAAAATCTACAAATATATAGACACATGTATCAGACAGAAACAATAAAAGTGTTGTTAATTAAACGTTTGTTTAGGAGTCATTCCATATTGTACACCGAGAACGAAGACAAAGGGATTCGTTACTTGTACACGCAATTCAAAATCACCAACGCCAAACATTTTAAGTTCGCAGACCAAGCCAAATATTATTTCTTAATGGTAAAATGTTTACTCGTGGAATACGGAACGTTTGACGGTGTAGTGGTCGTATGGAATTTAGTTGGCCTCAATTATTGGCACTTGAGAAAAATCAAAATATTCTACAAAAATCAAATCATTAGACTGTTGAACTTAATACAAGTGCGTATATACTGCCTTATAACTTTTAACGGTAATCAATTTTATAATATAAGTCTTTATTTCCCTCTTCGTGGACGAACTGGTTACAGGTTAGGTTAGGTTAGGTTAGGTCCTACCCAAGTTAAATAGCACTGTAACAAGGCTGGATCTAGAAACGAAAAAAGGGAAAAGTTAGAAAAAATATTCTTTTTCTTTATTTTCGCCTTACACACCGAACTACATGGGGTCAGCAACTGTAGTCCTACACTTCTTATCTATCCACTTTTCTTCTCACTATCCTCTTATCACTCTCTATCCATCTTTTCTTCGATCTTCTTCTTACTTCTTTCCCTCTACATCAATCTTTATAACACCTCTTTATAACTTCCTCTGTCTCATATCTTCTCCTAACGTGACCGAATCATCTCAACCTGTTCTCTATCATTTTTCTCACAATCGATGCAACTCATAGACTCCCCCTTATGTATTCATTTCTTATTCTATCTTCCCTAGTCACTCCACTCATCTCCACCACACTCATTCTCTGTTCAGCTTTCTTATCTACTGCCCAACATTCCAACCCATATAACATTGCCCCATAATTTTCTCTAAAATCAAACAACATTGTCTCCGACTTACTCCTACTAATCCTACCAAGTCCTTTCCCTTCAAGCGCTTCGCTCGATTCATCATAAATATCAATAAAACCGCAATGTGTAAAAATGACTTGATTTTGTTATTTATTTAAAGGATAATGCACCGTTACGGATAAAAGAATGTCACATTCTAAACTCTGGGGCAGTGACACTTTACGCATATGCTAAAGTAAAGTATATTTTAAACAAAGAATTTCGGAAAAAGGTTAGTTCCAAATGTCTAGATAACGGTTTAAGTACGATAATTGTTGTATATTTAAACATATTCCAACATTGCAAACGTTACCATACAAAAACTTACATTATTTGCTATAACTAATACAAAATATTTCGACTACAACTACTAATATAAATTTGCTAATAGCTTAATTGAATTAAAACATGACCAAAAAAGTCCACAATCAACATTTTAAAGTTTAACATTTTTTTGGAGAAATATAAAATAATTTTTTTTCTGGAATAAAACACATTTTTTTGTTGTAGTTATGATAAATAATTATTTAAATATTGGTTTGGTAACGTTTGTTATTTGCAAACAATTACATTTTATTTTTAGATTCATTTTCACAGACCAAAATCGGCGGAAATTTTCAAATTTGTGCCTAAGGATATTATGCCAATGGATTTTGAGGGAGGTTGTGGATTGAGTCATTCAGAACAATCTGGTAATGATCAAGATGCTTGATCGATATACTTAATTTAATGTTTTACAAACATTAAACGTTACACGTGGTATTTGTTTTTTTTTCTAGAGACAACTTTGGAACTAATGAAGTCTCTACGCGATCGGTACATGCCGGGTGATATTCTTAGTTCTGATGATAAAGACCAAGATGAAAACCAAGATGAAGACGATGATGAAGAAGTTCCGTTAATCGTCTAATAATTATATTTTTTTTTTTAGGAAACCTAAGATAAAGACTAATATGTAATATAGATTTAAAATAATAACCAAAATCAAACTTATGTAACATGTGATTTTGTTTGATTAATTATTAAAAAAGATATTTAGCAAAAAAGAAAAGCTTATACCAATCTCTTAATTATTATAACTGAGTGATTAAACCAGTGTGACCGAAATAAGATGAGGTTTAAGAAGGTTGTCTGTCTAGCCCAGGAAATTCATTCAAGCCATCCCAAAATTGGAACAACCAGGTTTATCATTATTAGAGCAGCTTATTTTTATTGGTATTTTAGGAGAGTTAAACTATGATTTTAAAGCAATATTCATTTTTACTAATAACAAGTTTAAATAGTATATAATAATCTGTGCTGTGCTTAAGTATGGTATAAAACACTATGATTCGTGTGATCGAGCTTGAATTTAGGAATTTTTTAAAATTATTTTAGGCATAGACATTGTAGTTTGCTGATACTTATGTGTCTGTAGATAATAGACAAAAGAATAATAAAATATTTGGTAAATATTTAATGTCAAAAAATACTGTTACACGCACAAAATTTGGGAAAACTACAAAAACCGTAATACCATATTTACTGATTTTGCAATTATTTGTCAATATTGTTACATATTTTAATTGTATTTAAAACAAATGGTAAGAACCAAATACCTGCGTACAACGCAATTGCAAGTGTGTATAGATTTATTGTAATGTTCATTGGATTTATAGTTTTATTATGTTTAGAGGTGAAAATGTTACATTGTTTTTTAAATATTGAATTCAGTCATTTACAGAATTCGAAGTTGACCCAAGTCTCAACTAAAAACAATTAACACAGTACTGCATTGAACCACTTGCGTATGGACTAACCGGAATAATTTATAGATCACTTTTTCTTCTTCTTCATCTTTTTCTTCTTTATCTTCGCCTTACACACCCAACTACATGGGATTGGTCACTTTAGTCCTACACTTCCATGATCTTCTACATCTCATTCAATCACCCCAGATATCCTCTTATCACTCTCTATCCATCTTTTCTTCGATCTTCTTCTTACTCTCTTTCCCTCTACATCAATCTTTATAACACCTCTCACTTCCTCTGTCTCATATCTTCTCCTAACGTGACCGAATCACCTCAACCTGTTCTCTATCATTTTTCTCACAATCGATGCAACTCATAGACTCTCCCTTATGTATTCATTTCTTATTCTATCTTCCCTAGTCACTCCACTCATCCATCTTATCGTTCTCATCTCCGCCACACTCATTCTCTGTTCAGTTTTCTTATCTACTGCTCACCATTCCCCAAGCCATATATAACAATGCTGGCCTCACTACCTACCTATAAAGTTTACCTTTCAATCTTATAGGCATCCTGCTGTCATACAAAACACTCCATGCTCCCCTTTACTTCATCCTTCCTTAATTTATTCTATTTTTCACATTCCCCTGGACCCATTGTTTTTTAAAACATCATACACCATGGAATAATTTCGAGATATAATTTGTTTTTTTTAATGTTTCTATGGGACTTTATTTCAAAAAAAAAAATGGACTTATTTCTTCTAGATTATTGTAGAAGTAGATATTTGAACAACGGTTTTTGAATAACCTAGAAAAGAGGCCAAAAGTAGGGTGCAATACAATATTCAATTTTGTTTTTGAAATATTTCAGTGGCTTACAGCATACGAAAAATACGCCCAAGCCTCAACTAAACAACTAATATAGTTATGTACATATATGATAAGCTATTATGAAAAAAACAAAATATGTTTTATGATTCACTAAGGCTTAAAACTAACTCAGTAACGTACATTCAACCACTTGCGAAAGGTCTATCCTAAATAATTTAGTGATACATTTTTGTTTTGTTCAACTTAATCATGAACAAGCGACAAAGTTATTTGGCTATTTGGTTCTTCGTTGTTTTTGTAATCCAAGGTAATATAAATTCAATTTTTAATTATTCTGCTGATAAATATGTCGTACATTGACAGCTAAAGACATAGCTAACAATAAAAAAAATAACAACGAAATCCGTCGTTGCATAACAACAAGATAACTAAAAGGAAACTATGGTACATTTAAAAAACGTAGCTATTTTACGAGTTCGTCCACAAAAAACTATTTTTCTATGTACATTTGTTTTTTTAACGAATGCTTTATAATTTTGCCTTAAATATTACCACTTAATGGTTTGATTTAATTTACAAAATATCAATTTTTTATTTTTATTTAGCTATAGGAATTTTGCAAAAGTTGTAAAATTGGGCCTCTGTTGAAGTTTATATTTATTTAAAAAAAAACACTTGTTCTGTGTATGAAATGAACATGTATATTCAATATCATGCACAATACTATATTCGCATGTTTAAAAAAACAAAAATAAAAATGCCATATAGAAAACCATATTTACTTTTACAATATTATAACACTTAAAAGAATCATAATGTTTTACTCACAGTTGTACTTTGGTTTATAAAATAATACTTATTAGGCCCTTTTTCAAGTAAAATAAAATAATGTTTTCTCATAACAGTATGTTCAGGTATATGCATACATGACCAATTTTTTTATTATTATACCACAACAATTTATGTGACTGTCGTTGCATATACATTATAAGATACCATAGTAGAAAACAGACAAAAGAATAAGAATATATTTGGTAAATATGCTAAAATTTACACGCATAAAACTTGGGAACAGCTGCAAAAACCGTAATACTATACTGCTGCTTTTGAAATTATTTGTTAATATTGCTAAATATTTTTATTATATTTAAAACAATTGGTAATATGGTCATTAAAACCAAATACCTGCGTACAGAATATAGGATTCCGAAAGTGAGAAAATTAAATTTTTTATTTAATTTTATAATTTTATCTTTACGAGTGACAACTTATACATTCAGCGCGTCAATGTTTTTAATTACATTTTTGAGTACTTAAGAGATACGAAGAGTATATGTAAATGTAAAACGTAGTAATTGTAATACAATAATAATTGAAAATCAGACAACAAAAATACCAAATAATACTAAGTCACCCAAAATGCAAAAATCACAGATTAGCGTCGCAGCTAAACAAAGACACATCACAATGTCATTTGTCAATTAACTGCGTTCAGCAACAACGTTGTGTCGGACGTCGTGATGGTGGGGGTTTCCCCAACCCGATCCGATCCGTTCCCCACTGTCTGACGCCGCAAGGTCATCTTATAAATAAAATATTTGATAAAACAAGTATCTCGATACCTTTAGAAATGATGTACTATTTTGCTTGTAATTAAGAAAGTATTCAACCAGTCTTCTATGACTATCTGCCCGATCCTTTCTATACAACTTTTCCATTCTACTGATATCTCATATGATCAATTCTGTTCAGCCGTTCAATCACCAAAAGGTGGAAACATATATAGTAAAATGTACAACAGTTTAATGGGATTGCGATGCTTCGTGTATAGTATACACTGCGGTGCACGCTATGCTATTTTTTTTACTTAGCTCCGCGCCACTACCTTGTCGATGGCCTTATGAAAAATAATTTTGTAATGTTCTATTCGGTAACCAATTAGTATTATAATTTCAATATTTTGCAGGGATTCGTATGTATGATCCATCTGTTAGCTATGGAAAATTTCTCGAGAAGGAAAATAGTAAATACGCAGAAATAACTAAACAAAAGATTAATGAACTCATAAATCTTGGAGAGCTAACTGAAGACTTTCCGATGATAAACTGTACGTCCGTTGCTATTAAGTTCTTAAACATTTTTTTGTGTGTGTTGATGTTTCGGTTTATAATAAAGTTGTTTGTATTATGTGGTTGGCTTTTATAATTATTAACTGCCGAAAAACACTAATAATGTTATTTTTATCAGTTCAAATATGCATATTATTGTCTCCATTTCAATAGGTAAAGAATATATCTTGTTTTTTCATGCTGCACACTTCAATGTGGTAAATGCTCGTGCCATGATATTCAAACATTATGCACTTCGAAAACAAATGACAGAAATATTTAACCGTGACGATACAGATCCAGAACTAAGCGAGTTGGACCAAGCTAAACGCGTCATGTAAGCAACAATAATTTAAAAAATGTATAAATGCGGTATTAATACTGGCAAAAACGTTTTACTAGTCAAATTTGAACTACAATCTTAGAATTTTTTTCTAAAGTCTCAAGATGTATATTTAACTTTGACTCTGAACACATGTTATAAATAACATTTTAAATATTCCAACAATTAGGCTGATATGAGTTTTAGGTATAGTTGCAATAACTTCATTCTCTGTACATGTAAATACTATAACATGTTATTTTGTTCTTCAGGAGCCATTCGATATTGTTTAGCGATTCGTATCAGACAATACGTGGCCTTGTTGGATATCGTTACATATACACTCGTTTCGTAGATACAAATCCTGCAAATTTTGTATTCATCCAGCAAGTCAGATACTTTTTCTATATGATAAAATGTATGCTCATAGAATACGGAACGTTTGACGGTCTTGTTGTGATCGTGGACGGAGCAGGTTTCACAATGACTCACGCTAACAAAATCAACTCTCATCTACTCTCCCCTTTATTGAAACTCATAGAAGTACGTGCAATATCGATATTATACTCTAAGGAAGTACTCAAAAACAGCTAAGTAATTGTTATGATCAAAATGCGCTATGCAACGTTCTAGCAACCATGCCAGTGTACCATGACATAAACCAATTCGCCTGGTTATTCTCACCCTGATATCTCTGCTTACTTTTATGACGGCCCTCTGAGTTTGGAACTTGGCCCTTTTTCAAGGTTGGGTTTTCGTTGGAGTGCATGAAATGATACATAAAACAATTATAATGGCCTGTTATAAAAAATCACTTCATAGTAAGATATTTATACATTCTTGTTTGATTTCAAAGGAGGCACCACTGATGCGATTAAAAAATATTTTCATTTTAAATACAAATTCTGCGATGA